TTTCAACTAACATGATATCAAATATTCCCACTGTTCTGATGAGAATCCACATTATGGTCCTACTGATGATAATGCTGAATCAGAAGGAGAAAAACAACATAGTAGTAATAAAGCTTAACAAAAAAAAATGGCAATAACAGACACGAAAGGAAGAAAGGGTGTAAGAAGTCAATAAGAGTGAAAAGATAATAAGGCTAAAAAAAGAACTTATTGTAGGAAATAAACTTAAAAGTAGAGCAGGAAAAGTAATTCCAAGTAAAATTATAAAAGCACCATGCCATGCGAATTGCAGAAATGGATGCAAAAAAAAAATTTCTGAAAATAAGAGGCAAAAAATATTTAAAAATTATTAAGGACTAGCAGATCATAATGGAATTTAATAAAATATGGTCATCAAAGAGAAAAGAAACAGGTAATAAAGAAAACTGAGTCAAGGCCCAATTTTTCCCGAGAAAATAATTTTATGCTTGATAATAAAAGAATAAAATTTGTAAAAGTATGATTTTAAACACGGTGGGTATATCGGAAATCTGGATTAAAACTACCTTGGAAAAAATGGAGAAGGTGGCACTTTACAAAAGGATAAGCGGGGGTGCCATACTGTAAGACGCAATAAAATTGCAGAAGATATTAAGGAAAGTTTAAGAACTCATATTAATTTTTTTCATTAGTTCCTTCGCATTAAAATAGAAAACATTAAAAAAATATATATTTGGAAAATGGTTTAAATATTAGTAAAATGTACAGAATCTGCAAAGATCATAATTGGAACTAATTCAATACAGACTGCAAGTGAACGGCAATATCGTGAAATTTTCAACAAAGAATTCAATGTAGCAGTCTTAAAACCAAAAAAGGGTCAGTGTCAACTATGCACGGGTTATACAGATGCTGATAATGACATAAAATTGAAATTACAAGAAAAATATGATCAACACTTACAAAACATAGCAAAGGTCAACCATAAATAAACAAAATAACTCTGAACTGAAAGATGACAATCAAGAATCTAAAGACATAGAGAAGCTTGGAGGAAACTTATGTTAACATTGGACAGTACTACATTATAACTTCCTAATCGGCAAAAATGCTTATTCCGACAGTAATGCAGATAAATTGCATAGCAGTAAATTGTTCTAATTTAACTGGGCAGTTTAAGTAATAATATAGAAAATTATTTACTATAAAAATTAAAATAAAAGACTCAGCGAAAAAGGACGAAATTCTTATCAAAACACCTCCAAAAAAAAAACATAATAAAAAAGATAATACCTAAAAAAGAAAAACTAGTAAATATTCGTACCTGTTTTGACTTTTGTTGCAAATAGTTTGCATACATTTGAGTGCAGATCAAAACTGTGATTTTTCATTTTTGTGATTAAATCTTACAAAAAATTTCAATGCACTGGTTTTTAATATTTTCTGATCGTTTAACCTTTGTATTGTCTCTGGGTACGCCTGGACCCAGTAGTAAAATTTAAATGTTTATATATTTATTATATCGTAAATTTGAGACGTGATGTTTTATGATATCCTTAAGATACGGTTTGTATACAATTTAACGTACTTACGTTTTGAAATATCGGTTTGGATTTCTTTGAAATGAAAGAAACACATCTGTTGTTTATGGGTCCAGCTGTACCCAGAAGTGTTTCCAAATGTACATGATGTTTGTTTTGTTTATTTTTCTGAGAAGGGTAATTCGATTTTATGGGTTCTATTTTCGGAAGCGATTGTCGAGTATCTTTAGTGTTGTAGCAGACTTGATCGCTTGAAGTTTAGAGTTGAGAGTAGGGTGAACAATCTTCTTCTTCTTCTTTATGTGCCGTCTTCTACCGAAGGTTGGCGACCATCATACGATAGGTTTCTCTGTTTTGTGCCGCATGAATTATGTTCGCAGCTTCTGGTATTTGAAACCATTCTCTCAAGTTTCTCAGCCAGGATTTCTTCTTTCTGCCCAAACCTCTTCTACCTTCAATCTTGCCTTCCACGATAAGCTGTAGCAGACTGTACTTATCATTACGGAACACATGGCCCAGGTATGACGCTTTCCTCCTTTTAACAGTTGTTAACAATTCCACTCTTTACCCATTCGTCTTAATACCTCTGTGTTGGTCACTCTGTCTGTCCAAGGTATTCTCAGTATGCGTCGATACAGCCACATTTCTAGAGCCGCTAACTTCTTTATAGTTGCTGCTGTTAACGTCCACCCTTCTACGCCGTAAAGTAGCGTAGAGAGTACGTAGCATTTCGTGGCGCGCCATCGGAGGTTAATGCTTAGGTTGCGGTTGCTTAAGAGCTTTCTCATTTTGATGAATTTGGATCTTGCTATTTCAATTCGGATCTTAATCTCTACTTCTGGGTCCCACTTGTCATTTACTGTATATCCCAGATATTTAAATCGGTGTACTCTTTCAATACGTTCGTCTTCAATATGCAGGTCGATATGTTGAAATTTTTTTTTACTGATCACCATAAATTTAGTTTTCTTTCTATTGATCTTCAGTCCAAATCGGCTGCCAGTTGTATTAACTCTATGTAGCATCATCTGTAAATCTTCGATGTTATCGGCCAGTATAATAGTATCATCTGCATATCGAAAATTACTTATTGGTACGCCATTAATCTTGATGCCCTCATTGTACTCTTCTAGTGCCTCTAGAAATATTTGTTCCGTGTACAGGTTGAAAAGCAGTGGCGAAAGAATACAGCCCTGTCTTACCCCTCTAGAAATGGTTATGTTTTCACTCACCATATGTCCATTCTTCATGTGGGCTGTTTGATTCCAATATAGATTTTTTATAATCTGGATGTCCTTAGTGTCAAGTCCTGAAAGACGTAATAGTTCTATGAGTTTGTCATGTTTGATAGTATCGAATGCTTTCTCATAGTCGATAAAACAGACGTAAACATCTTTCTGTTGATCCAGGCATTTTTGAATCAAAACTTGTATTGCAAAGAGGGGTTCTCGAGTTCCAAAACCGCATCTAAAACCGAACTGTGTTTTACTTATGCTGTGTTCTAATTTTGCTCGTATTCTGGAATGGATAATACGCAAAAATACTTTAAGGGTGTGGCTCATTAAACTTATAAGGCGATATTCACTACACGTCTTAGAATTATATTTCTTGGGAAGGGGCACAAATGTAGATTTCAACCAGTCCGATGGAATTTGACCAGTATCGTATATCTTATTAAACAGTTCCAATACTACATTCAGGTTGTTCTCGTTAAAAACTTTTAAGAATTCGACTGGTATTTCATCGCATCCTGTTGCTTTCCCATCTTTCGTTTGATCTATAGCTTTTATCACCTCACTTTTCAATATTTTTGGTCCATTCAGATCAAGAGTGTTCGTAGAAATATGACGATAATCCGTAAACAAATCTTTTATGTAGATTGACCAAGTCTGTAACTGTTCTTCTTTATCTACAATAAGTTTATTGTTCTCGTCTATTAACCTACCAAACTGTTTTTTCTTGTAAGTATAAGTAAACTCCTTGATTTTTTTTATGCATGTTAAAACTATCGTGTCTTCGTTCTAGCTCTTCTATCTCTTGACATTTTTCTTGCAACCATTTCTCTTTGGATTCTTTTATCTTTCTGCTGACAGTTCTATCCAGTTCTTTATATTGTTCGGGATTATTCTTATTTTCCCTCCTTCTGTCCATAAGGTGTAATATTTCATCTGTCATCCACTCGTTCTTCTTCTTCCGCTCGGAGTCACCAATTACTTCTTTTGCACCGTTGCATATAGCGTCCCTTAAGTTGATCCAGTCTCTTTCAATATCATCAGTGTTGGTTGTTAAAGCAACATTACTAATATATATAACAAGCGAGTCTTCTACAGCTGGCGCCGCTTCTCGCATCCTAATTTCCAGCGTTTTCTGTCGAAGCAATCTTCAGTTGTTAGATCTCTGGCGGTCATTGCATCGTCGACATCGTCTCTCCAGGATCGTCTTGGTCTACCTCGTTTCTTCTAGTTGGCGGAGTCCATTCTTCTATTCTAGAAGAATAGAAGAGCAACATTACTATTAATGCTATTTGTAAGCTTGGCTTTTATCTCAGGATTTCTACGTTGATCCATATCTAATCTTTTGTTATTCTGTTTCTGGATTATGGTTTTTAGTCTTACTCGTAATTGGGCTACAAGAGGATTATGATCAGAGTTTATTATCAGCTCCAGGATATGTTTTGGCTAATATTATTGCGTTACGGAATCGTTTGTTAATTGTTATGAAGTCTGAACAATCATTTGTGAAAAATAGAATAATAAGCGCTTGCTAAAAATAGCTCCAGAAGACTCACGGAAGAGGAAACATTCTTGAAAAAGACAATGAAGATGAATCTACGAATTTAGCAAACCGTCACTAGTAATGAAGAGTTAGTAGATAAAGAATTTTATAAAGAAGATTATTTATCTACGGTAGATGATGACAAAGATAAAAGCGAAAATTCGGAAAATGAAATAAAAGTTCCTCAACAAGAAGATTTACAATTCCAATTCCACTATTTAGAATAATTCTTCTTTTTTCAAAGAAGGAAGTCTGCAATAGTAGTATTACTTGAGCTATTAATACTGAAGAGTAGAAATTGTTGTGTTATAGGTTTCCGACAATGAATCTGTCAAAATATGCCCGAGCTAAGCGAATTGAGTATAGAAGCTTTTATAGTTTAATACTTTCATTATAGTTTTAAAATATATTAACTTAAAATCTTGAATTTTTATTCAAGGTTTACTTTTTCTGGCTGATGTTCTTATAGGTGCCGTTGAATCTTTGCAGGAACTTTAAAAGTAATTCTGATGGGAGGCCCATTTTTAGAGCTACTTATCTCTGAAACGATTTTGTATGATCAGCCGCTTTTTGAGATATGATAATAAAGAGGATATACCTATTTGATGGACGATTGACATTAGAAGTTTTTTTGATTTATTTGTAGCACAACTTTCCAAAACGGTTGTTCCATATGAAAGCTTTACTGTCGACGAACAACTTGTACCATCTAGAGGTAAGTGTCCCTTTAGACAGTTTATTCCAACAAAACCTCGTGGGAAATATGGAATTAAATAATGGCTTTAATCTTATATCAAAACTGCGTATGCATATTGTGCAGAAGTGTGGTTTTACGACTTGAAAAGATGTTCAGAATTCTGGGCAAAACATAACCACGAATAAATTTTTGACTGACTACCATTTTGCGACTGAATTAAAACGTAAACTAACACTAATTGGAAAATTACGAGAGAACAAAATTTTTATTCCAGTTGAGTTTCTACCAAATAAAAGTAAATAAGCCCTATCATCAATTTTTGGGTTTCAGAAGAATATGACTTTAGTTTCATATAGTCCTAAAAAGGGTAAATCTGTTATTCTTTTATCCTCGATGCATTTAGATGACCAGGTATTATTGCAAGAACATAAGAAACCACATATTATTTTAGAATACAATAAAACCAAAGGAGGTGTAAATATGTAACATTTTTTTATATAATTAAAATATGAATTATTTTTATTTCTTTTACCCCTGTGATGATATGCTTATGTTCGGTTTACCATTTTCAAAATCCTATTGAATGCACGGAATTTCCCTAATTAAGAAAGGTTGTTAATCCTTTACTTCTTAATCCCGAGTATGAAAGGAACTAATGCTTTTCGGTATACGGGTTCTTTTTCATAAATTGGTAATTTTCGTCGAATTCCCCTAATCCAAAGGATTTTAATTTTCTCATGTCCACTTGTTGGTACCGTTATTTACCCCGAACTTTCCGATAGTCGTTAAGACCTTATTTTCTTAGAAATAGATATAGGCTGGTCTATGATTTTTGAGTGGGAGATATCCCAAAGTTTGGTAAAATTTTAGATGAATCAACTTACTTTTGGTGGAACAGTCTTTGCGTAAGGACTAGATCTTACTGTGTATCTGTTATCTTACCGTATGTGAATTGTTTTCTAAGGGTGTATACACTTGTTTACTTAAGTCTTTTTGATCTTATACTATATTCAATTATATATAGTAATAAAGTACCATTAATGTAAATCAAATTCAGTGTCTAATACAAGTATAGTATTAACTTTAGTGAATTAGGCAGCAGTCATCAGAAATTACTCTAAGTTACCATAATCATTATCTCCAATTATCTGGGCAAATAATATGGTATGGTATCATATCATCTGCCATTATCTGGACGTATCTAAAGTTCCTACATGTCTTCACCTGTATATTGCTGATTTTTGTATTAAATTTAAAGAACATTTCAGTAAATTCAAGAAATTTCAATAGGTAATAAATATGAACATTTAAGTCTGTTTATCATTAAATAATAGTGCGAAGCAAATAATCGGCTTAACCAAGTGCGGTTTGGTTAAAT